CTAGTTTGTCTGATTACCGATTTAAAAACGGGTGACAAAATTAACACATATACGTACATACATACATACACGCCCAACAAATGCACATACAACCTTTTAATAATGTGCGTTTCGCTAGTTGTAGCGCTGCATGGCAAAAATGCGTAAAAACTCGTTATTTGCATATAAGTTCACATTTCTCGCTTGAACGGATTGTCAAGTGGATTTTGCATAAATCGATAAATAGCTGCGCCACAAAGGACGATTGGTGTCACGCGTTTTATATCATGCATATTGCTGATTACCGGTATGGAAGAAAGTCGCGCTTCGAAAAGGCTAGAATGACCACTCAGGTGCTAGTAAAATTTCATTTGAATTTCATCTCAAATACGCTTTTCTGGCCAATACAAAATGTAATTTTCTTCGAGCAACGTATAAAAACGTATTTTGACGAACTCATTTATTCATTCTGTTTATAGCTGGATAAGTCAGATCGAGAACAATCTATGCAAGAGAACTGGAACTTTAAAAACAAAGCTTTTGTACATGTTGGAGGCAACTGAACAAAAAATGACATTCAGGCCTGCCTACACTCTGGATTTTCATCCAAGCACCAAATTTGGCTAACGCGTAACTTAGGGACAAACAGAACAACAAAACTCGAATGTGTAAATTTAACCCGTCGTACAGTCTAGAATTATCTTCCAGACTCTATGGTGCCCTGCTTTGACTGACCATATATCAGAATTCAGGTTGAACTCGTAGCTTCAGTATGAGGCAAGCTGCGCACTCGGGATTTCTGCAGCTTAAATCTGTTGTACGGCGCAAAATGATCGATCTCAAATCTGCTTCCAGAAAATCCTCGCAAAATCTCAATCCTATTCCAAAATGGAGCAAACAACGAATTTCAAATTTTGTTGGTTTAAGATTACCAGGTAGATGAGAGCGTTGTATAGTAGTCCTGAACATGTGTTACCACATTGGCCCATTGTGGGTTATTAATAACTGACCGCAAAAAAACGCATGCATATAATAGCCCTCTGCAATGTTTTGCGGTGCGTTTTGTGTTCAGACGCCCAGTACGCATCTGATAAACATCAAAGCGTTCAGGAGAGTGCAGTCTAGGATGCTAGCTGGCCTCACTATAAATTGTTTCGCACTATCTCATTTTCAGCAAATGCGGGACTTCTTTGGTCTTATCATCCTCAAATTCATTTTGTTGAGAATAACTGCGTGCATTCTTGTCTTTCCGGGCTATTTAACTTCGCGAAAATACATCAGCGAAGGATCTGAAAATGTTAAACTCTAATTTTCTGTGGGACTACCAAGGCGATCAGCTTCTTGCCTTCGATTACAACATTTTACCCTTTGCTCAGTTTGGTGACAATACCGGGAAGTTTATTCGACTGGTTATAAATAAACGTGACTGTTCGCTGTTACTCCACAGTCACGTCGGCATTCTGAATGCATATCGTTTGCCTGTTTCCGAAATTGCTTGACCAAACAAAATTCTTTTGCTCTAATTTATGATTGATTCATATATTTTATTATGTGTTTTTTACTTATAACAGCTGCACAGAATGCGTGCTGTCACACCTGTATGCGTGTTTGCGCATGTGAGTATGTGTGTGTGAGTGTTTGTGTGTGTGTGCCCGAGTGCGTTTTATCCCACAGAAGTTAGGATGTTGAAATTTTAGGAGAATATTCACTACTTATGTACGGCACCACGAGTTTAAATTTAGACTTCTCGCACACTTAGATCTCACTTACGAAGACATGAAAGTTTTGGCTTCAAATTACCAACTCGGGATCCATAAAATCCATAAAACAGAAATTGTAAGGTAATATTCCGAGTCCATGTCTGATCCCAGAAATTTGAATTCATCCTCCACTTACGTCTAGGTCTTTCGCGTACGGATGCGTGGGAGTTTTGGCACAAAATTTTCTGTCTCTGAAATCAGGAAGATGAAAAGTTGAAAATCCAGTACGATTCTTCCGCTAAATGTGCAACCCCTTATTTCCGAATTCAGTTTTTGTTAGTCTTTTTTTGTGCTGCCTCCCAGCTGATGCTATCTTCGTTCGTCCAGTGATGGTACTGTTCTACTTCACATTAGCTTCCTCTTCAGTTGTGTAACTAGCGGCCGGAACGGAAACAACGAACAACTTGGCCTTACGTCACTATTAATTCATGTATTGATATTGTTTACAGTGATGTGCTTTGTTTAATATTGTTAACAGTGGTGTGCATTGGGACACAAATTTTGTCGCCAATTTAGAAGTAAATTTCATTGTTTTCTGTCCACGAAATATACGGCGCTGGCTGCTGTTCATCGAAACACGGCATTCCTGCAGCGAACAGGCGCCATGTTTCACAACTGTGAGTCGCAGGACACTGCCTGAAGTATGTCACACTCCAGGTATGCGGCTCCCAGT